AAAAACCTAAAGTAAATCTCACCCAAACGTCAAAAACCTATATCGTGGGGGGTGGGGTGGGAGTAGTGGTGACTTCTATTGCCGCAAATGTTTAACTTTTCATACTTATTTTACACATATTCGTGTTTACCAGGGTGGGGATCTGCATTTTCCAAGGGGGGTCCATTGTAACTTTTTCCTTGTTTTAGTATATACATTTTTTAACCTTGTAAATGCCAGGGGGGGGCCAGCCCCCCCCCCCCCCCCCCCCGACAGATCCGTGCATGAATTTACATCATTAATAAAATTCAGACTGGTATATAATGAATTAAACATGTATAAAATAAATATAAAAGGTTCTGAGTTATAGGTCACAGGGTCTGAGAATTTCATACTCAATTTGATGAATACATGTAAATTATAGAATTGTTTTGACTATTTCTTTGGAAAGCCGCCCAATATGTAGGAGCGTGTATTTAGAGGCAAACACCTTAGTGCGGGTATTACTGTCTCATGACAGCATCTAGTTTGTTCTGTGACAGACTTCCTTTTCAAAAGTCGACGACCAACTTTTATGGGAGCTTCATAACCTGTAAAAAAAATTCTATAAATTATTGATACTTATAAAATAAATATTCATCCCTTCCTCCCGGCAAAAAACTTTTAAATAAATGGTTTCTACTTTTAATTATTTTTTGGTGCACATTGAATAGTCAAAATCTAGCAGCATTTAACTTGTAAATCACAGCACAGATAAATAAAGGGCATGGTTGTATCGAACAACCTTCTTACCATTACATAAAGTATGTGCATATCAAAACCAGAGAAAATATAATGAATGCATGTAAACTAAATACTATAGATTATGACTTGTGTTTACATTTACAAATTATTTCAAAACGTATTACTAGTAAGGCATAATTATGGTGGCATATTTATGCCCCCTACATGCAAGATAAATTATGTCAACATGCAACATATGTATGTCAACATGCAAATTAATTATGTTGACATGCAATTTACCAATCTTATTAGAAATATAATTTATATATGGGTAATTTAACTTACTAACGCCTGTATCTGACAATTTAGATGCATTATACAACATGATTAAGTAGACATGCGACATTTTTTGGTATGTCAACATGCTAGATAATTATGTCAACATGCGACTTATCTATGTCAACATGCGAGTTAATTATGTAGACATGTTTACATTTACATTTCATTTACAGAATTACATGGGGAGCACCTATGATTTAGTTCAGATTCCTATATAAAAAGATTTGTAACTTGCATGTCAACATAATTATCTTGCATGTATACATAAATTTCTTGCATGTTCACATTTATAATTTATCTTCCATGTTGGAATCAGAAATATGTCACTATACATGATATTAAATATTATCATTTTTATGCCTAGTAGCGCCTTGTTTGTGAATGCGTTGTTGCAAGCTTACTTTCACTTTACCTGAATGTCAAATCTATTTTTACCCATACGAAAATGTGTAGTTGACCGTCAACTAGCCGTCAACTAACCGTCAACTAGTCGTCAACTGTTAATGCGAAAACAGTTGACCACTCGGAGTTGAATGCTTTTCTGAAAAGCGATCAACTGATTTGCATAAAACGGCCAGTTGACCATTAGTTGAATGCTCATACTTTGAAATTTCATGCAGAACAAGAGTTGACCACTAGTTGAACACTCCGACTTGTTAGAAAACTTCTCCCACGCTAAATTTATGTTGGGTTCAAAATTACATTATCATAGATCGGGTTTGTTATTGCTAGCGCTCTCGAGCGCTAGCAACTACGTTAGTCCAAATTCCTTGAATACGCATGCTCGGTCGCCATGGCCGTGCATTCTGGGAAAACTGTGAAAACTACTACAGATAGACCGTACGATAACAATTTCGTTGTATCATGTTGTAGCATGAAATAACTGTTTATTTACTGTGTAGCTTACACTTTAAGATAACTTCATATTTATAATATTTCAAATTCTGGTTTATTTTTTGCTAACGGAAAAGCCCGGGTCATTATCTTATTGTTCTAAACAATGACAAGGGAGTTTTTTTTCTAAGCACAACCAAAGATAGTGTAGCGAAATATGTTATCTTAGTTATTTCACATAAATTGATGTCAGTTATGTTCACACTCTGTATATCTTTATCTTTATCTCTAACAGCTTAATGTGTATCTTAATTACCCCACATGTTTGTGTTATGTACCGCCTGCTGATTGCCATATTAATTTATGTAATTGATACATTGACTCCTAATCTTAGGGATCCAAAATATGAGCTCCTTATTGTTAGGAGCGGATCTATAGTATAAATACCGCGCTGAAACTGCATTAGAGACATTCATACATTCGAACTCATTATAAGCATTACCATTCAGTACCATCATTCTTGGATTATTAACTTCGCTCATGTTGCTATATTCTTGGACATTATTTGGATTTATTATTTGGATTTATTTTGTGTTTGATATTTGTGATTGTGTATATATTTGTGAGATGTGTAAATAAACTGTAGAATAGATGAACTTGAGTCTCATTTCAAGATATGTGGACAGTTTAACGCTACCAAAATAGAGAAATTAAAGACTGAGGACAAAATGTAAATACGGCCGCTCGGTCGACGCTACAATAGATTCTAATTTCTGATTGGTCAATTCAGCCAATCTTACAAATTCCAGAAACAGTAGCAAGAATTTACACTAAAAATGACGAATAAATCCATTATTTCTGTTTTAAAAAATTCTGATGTGTAGGGCTTTTAACCTAACATATCTTGACAAATATGACCCAATGTATCTTATTTGCTATTATCAAAGAAAATGTATATATTCTTAGAATATATAGATAAAGAACAAGTATTTACGTGTAATGTTTTAATAATTTCATTTGCAATTTAAGTGAGCAATGCCTTTTTTAAATTTAAGATTAAATATCAGTGCAATTTCGAAAAATATTAAGTGAAACCAGGTTAAAACATCAATGGATTTACTTGAAAGTGTCACCCTAAAAAATTGTACCGACTTATAAGCGGGGCATTAGCAAAGTCCACCAAAATAACGTCAAAAAATACAACCGACTTATAGGCGGACCGACTTATAGGCGAGTATATACGGTAGGCTACTTCACATGCGTTCCAAAGTCTCTGGGTTCTTTACACAACATACAATTTGAGTTATTTTCTATATTCCTTTCAACTCCCATGTATTTTCTTTGCTAAATTGCCAAGAAATTGAAATTCTCTTCTTTAAATCAGCCCATACATGCAATGTCTCAATCGGCATCTTCCTCATCATATGATAGAGACCCCCCCTCTCCAGTAAAGGTCATATATGTTCCGTTCCAAAACTCCAATAGGTCCACCCTCCTTGTTTCTTTACCTTTGTGTCTACCCTAATGTAGATTTTTTCCATGGAATTCCAAAGCATATTCCATGGAATTCCATGGAATTTTTGTTCCGCGGAATTCTTTAGAATTCTCCGGAGTATTGGGACGGAACTTTTTTCGGAATGATTTGGAATTTTGAATCTAGCCTGGAAAAGAGCGGAACAATGCCAGAATGGAAATTTGCGGAGGAAATCCGTGGAATTCCAGGATATTTGTAAATCTAAGGAATTCCATGGAAATCCATGGAATTCCAGGATTCCAAATACATGTACAAAGAAAACTGAAATAATTAGTGCCAAATAATTACAAAAAAAATCGATAACATCACAATGTTTCATAGATCAAATCTATATTTTCAAAATAAAAAATTAATTGTTTCAATGTTTTTTGAGACAAATATTGCATATGATATAACTCTCAGATGTACAATATAAGCACACTTTCATAAAATATTCTCACGGAAAGTATTCTACATTAAAGGTTATTTACAGAGAAAATATGATTACCGGAGAATCAGTCACCTTGGTTAAATTAATGATAATCATGTTATGATATACATGAATTTAGTAAACTCCAGTCTGCATTTTCTAAAATAAGAAGTAAGTTTTAATAAATGAGTTGGCTAAGGAATTGGAATAGTTATTGAGACCTCAACAAAGTATACATTTACAATGAACTGCCAGTGGCTTATCATGCTTATGTACTGGTACAAAGTTATTGACTAGAGTGACAAACACATGTATTACATGCAAAAAATATGTACTACACAACTATATTGATACAATGATCCCATAAAATCAACAGATGATATTTCCCCCCAACGTACGTGCCAAAGATCCCAATTAATGAAGATCCAAAACTTCTGACGTGTTTGCTAGAGAATCATGCACTTCCTCACTGATATTCTATGAAATTAGTAAATGGTTATGTTAGAAGGTTGACAGTTAATTGGTGTCACGAACGGATTCACTTTCAGTACGAAGGCTCAGAAAGTTCGATGTTGATCATTCCAACAGACACTTCAAACTTTCGATCCTTACACGATTTCTGAAAGAAAAAGATGACCATTAAGATGCATCATTATTGATATCCATATAAATATATGACAAACAATAAACAAAAGCTATACAAAACAATTGATTTTTTTTTACCTGGCAAATCAGTTTACTATGGAATATGAATTAATTCACTATCTTGCAATTTTTTGTTCAAATTAGGATTAATTCTGATGAATGTATAAATGTGAAAAGTTTATAGATGACAGACAACATCAGGCACTGATCAAAAAACTCACTTAGGCCTTAAAATGGTTCAGGTAAGCTAAAACAAAAAGGTTTGAGCTCAAGCTCAATGCCTGACTAACACTGAAAAAGATAATTTCAATTCATGTGATTCTATTGATTTAGAAAATAATTCAGAAATCTTACCTTTATATTTTTCTTTTCATACACCTCTTGTCCTTGTGAGCACCCGGATTCCTGTAAAATGCATGTATACTTCATATTAGATGATTGCTATTTGATCTAAAGTAATTAGGCATGTCTGTGCAGTTTTCATGTTTACATTACCTGTCAGAATGCATTGTTATTAATTATTTGAATAAGGAATTTAAGCGTGTTAAGAATATAAAAATTTAAATTTTGTTTCCTTGGCAAAGTTGCAATAATTTTTTTAATAGCGAGCGCAGCGAGCGTCGTGTAGCGAGCTCAATATACTATAACGTGTATGAACGGAGGAAATTTGGGTTGAAATCTTCACGTTCCAAGAAATTTTTATCTCACAGCGTGAAAGAATTCCAAACTCCCAATAATCCTTTGCGGTGAAGAGTCAACAGGACTTTTTATTTGACGTCATACTTTCGTCACTTAAACGGCTCAGGTATTTTGGATTTTGTAGGAAACTTCCGAAAATTCAGAATCTCTATCCCAATGCCTGGGAAGTGGGAATTGACTTGTTAATCTGTTCAACTGAGGATAGGCAGTGCAAGTAAAATCTGTATAAAGGATTTTGAAAGTAAATAACTGTGCTCGTCCCCAACGGTCGCACCGTAGAACACATTATTATGCTAATAGACATGGATTAATAAAATCAGAGTTAGTTAACTTGGTTTGAGCGATAATTTGAGCTCGTTCTCACCATATTCACAAGCCTAGAGACTGACTGGCTAAGCATCTACATCCACCAAGTTATCAACAGGTCCAGCACAATCTCTTGATTAAGCTATATAGCTTTAAAAAGCTATATAGCTTTATTAAGCTATTCAAAATAGCTTGATAAAGCTATTTATATGCAATTTTTCACAAAAACGTTTTTTGAAAAAAATAAACAAAAAGTCGCAAATATTTGACTATTCATATATGTACTATGGACTATCAAAAATACAACCTAAATCATAGAAAGTTCTAACATTGCTGCTGTTGAATACTTTTAAGCAAAATATGAATTTCCATTGTTTGAGTAACTGAGTGTGTGGTGAGGCGTGGGTAAGTATGATTGCTTCTCATTGTGCTGAACTGTTACTAATCAATTATCCTGTTGGCCATAACTGGCCTCCTTTATAATTTCATTCAAGAAATAACTGTGTGGTCACTCATCAATAGCCCCAAAACATTTAAAACTTTGAGTAAAAAGTCTCTCAAGTAGACGCAATTTGGTGAGTGATTTTTACATGCATTGTATTCAGAGCAGTACAAAGTTTAATATTTCCACTGCACCAAGGTGCGACTTTTTGCACCTGTTGAAAAAATAACACATTTGAGAAAAAAGTCTGAGAAAATAGCTTAATCAAGCTATTCTGAATAGCTTAATAAAGCTATATAGCTAAATCAAGCTATATAGCTTAATCAAGAGATTGTGCCGGACCTGATCAAACGCCAGCGCTGAGGGATCATCTCAGGCACATTTTTATGCAGCAACAGCTATAAAATAATTAAAATAAGAACTGAAAATGATCATGAACATGCCTTAAAATATATATAATTAATTACATTGTATATCATACTCTGTAAATGTTATCTTGACTTGAACAAAGGAACGTATAGTAGGCACGGTAAAGCAAAGGGCGCGTAACTCTGTTTTGTTGTGACAAAAACGTCCTCGCTTTTTCGTATATTTTTTAATGGCGGGCAAAGTGAAAGTGGTATATATGTTACGGCAGTTTTCTGAGCCTGAACGTAATAGAATGTGTTTTTATAAAGATATAAACTTAGAAGAGGTATTATAGCTTGCGTATTTTTATTTTTTAAGTTTTTAAGCGTGAAAATTAAATAAATAGCACCCAACCAAAAAGTAAAATATGCGGTAGAAATTTTGTAAGTCTTTATACGCCATTAAATCCGACACTATTTAAAAAAATAACGTTTTCTGGTTCTTTTTCATAAAAGTATATATCGATCTGAACCCGTATTCACAAGAAAGAAACGTTTATTTAACATATCTACATCGCAACTTGTCCAAGCCTCGTTTTCGATTCACGCCTCACTACTTTCATACTACGTACGGCACAGGTAAAAATCGCTGAATTATTTAAAAAGAAATAATATTATATTGGTTAAACAAGATTAAAATTTATTATTAGATATAAAATACTTGCATTTGATGTTCTGGTAGACTACAAAACGTTACAATTAAATTTAGTTTATTGTTATTTACCAGAAGGCGCGGATCCAAGTTGAGATTATCATCTTTTAACATGATTAACAGACAAATAAATAAATTATCATAATATGGGAGAAAAATCAGTAAGCTAATTCTTCTTTATTTTCAATTTATAGATTTTTAGCAATCCACAGCTGGAAGCTAAAGAATTAAAGTGGCCAACTATAATTATAATATTTAAATGGATTAAAATGTTTTTATTTATTACATATTTGGTTCAGTAAAATAAATGTGCAGGATTTTTAGAATAATATTTATAACATTCTAATTATGGTACTAGTTTTATTTTAACAAATGTTTATTACCAAAAATACCCCCTACTCATTCGGGGTTCCATTTCCTTTTAGATTCATTATATTCAGCAAAATTTTTGTATTAAAAGTCTTTCAACTGATTTTACAAAGTATTTTTGAGAAATAACAATGCATATAAAGCACCAAAAGCATAAGCAAATGAAATTTGAGTACACATGCATGCTTATGATTTTGAGAATTATTAGGAGCATTGTCTCATACATTGTCTCATAAAATGCCATGTATCAAAAAGGATAAGTTCTATTTAATTTTAATTTAGATTTCAAAGAATTTTCCTGGGAGCATACTAGAAAGTAAAATTAAAATTTAACAACATGAATATTAACAATCAGAAATACTGTCTAAGGCAATCATGCATGCATGTCCTTGCAATCAATTTTTAGTAGCATAATTTAGGAGCCTATTATACCTTTCTATATGTTCTACATTAAATTTTGTTTATGTTTTGTTGAAAAACTATAGAAGTTACAGTTATATGCCTATCAAACAGCAGCACATTTTTGCGAATTTCCATATAAAACATCTTGTAGAACCTTTCCAAAAAAAAACCACACACAAGATATTGAGATATTTGTTTTAGCCATTCAACATGTTCAAATTAAGGGAAGTGCACATGCATGCAGTGATGCATGCACAGAAGTTCAAGCTAAGTACACTGTGTCACCTTGTCCAGATCAGTAATCTATATCTCTATGTCATGAGATTCAAAGCATTTCATAGAAAAATATAAAAGTTATGGCTATATAGGTATGTCAGTCATGTCACTCATTGCATGCGCCTTCATGTACATTGTACATGCACATGTGGGTAAAATGACCTTCCATGAGGATATCTATATAACATGCCTTAAAAGATTTTAATTCACTTGGATGAGCATTTTCATAAAACACTTTCATACTAAAAAAGGCAAAGAATAAGATAAAAAGAGAAAAGGTAAACAGAGAGAATACAATTTAATCACAACCATTGTTTTGGGAACATAATATATGGACTTATAAAGTGAGCACTATGGAAATAATGAAAGTGCATCAGTCCCCGATGCCTATCCTAACTCTTCCAATGGCGTTTGACAAATCATGTCAATTTCTTTTTTTTTTCCTGAGGTATATAGAATCCCATACTCCATGGACATTTTTCTAAAATATAAATTATATGAAATCTGACAGGGGGTTAGTCACATTCCAATGCTATAACTTTTTTATTTGAAGAGATATGAAGTTCAAATAAGCTGTACATGACTTGTAAAAGGTAAAGTAATCAATCTATGTAAAAATAATTGTGGTTTTTGTTTTATAAAAAAATCCTTTACCATGCCTACGTATAGGTAAAATTCTTTACATAAGTTCGATCCCAAACGAGGACATTCGGGTTAAAATCCATGATCTTAATGAGATGTTTAGAGTTTTTAAATAATTATTACAAAATTGAAATAGTGCACTAACGATTTCACCGTCAGGTAGTTTATGTGTGACTGTGTGGTGCCCAGACTATAAATGAACAGGTAGCAGAAGCGTTCTTCATTCAAGGACACATAAAATACTGTACAATATTGTACCTACCGGGTCTTAAAATGTCTTCATCTTCTTCCATCCAAAGCTAATCATGATTCCCCTGTTCTAAACACCCTCTTTCCAACTTTCATTCTGTGCAACATCAACATGGCATTCGACATTTTTGAATTTAGGCGTGTTGTTTTAATTAATTGTTCATCGAGCCCGACTTCGATCCCGATGTTATTGTACTATTGGTCGACAGTTAAAAAAAATCTAAGTAATTTTCCACAGTTTTCCAGAGCAGAAAATGGCTGAGTTTCTCATTTTATCATTTTTTCCAAAGAATTCCACTACTTTCCAAAGCAAAAAATGTCTAAGTCCATTTATTTTTTCAAATTCCAAAATATTCCAAAAACTTCCAGACACACTTTTCGACTTTGGTATGGAAACGAATGGAATTCCATGGAATTCCAAAACTTTTCCAAACCCTTTGGAAAATCTACATTAGGGTATAAAATGGATACACTTCACTAAACAATAATTACTTTATCACTCTCCAGCCTCGATAAAAATTAAAGAATTCAGCAAAATAAATCACTTGATCACGGATCTTCCTTTCTGTGTTTAAAAATTGCTACGGCGCTAGCTCACCTATCTTTTTAAAAGATAAACTTGTACCATAATTACAACAACCAAGATTTGAATCAGTACACTGTACATGTGTGTTTTCTGTAGAGGATGGGAATTTTGATTTGAAACATTATTATTGTCTTCGTGATGATTCATCGTGTGAAATATCTCATGTACTATTGTAAGTATATAAAATTTAAAGATTTGTTTTTACTAAACTTGTTATTTTTAAACCAGGGTTGCAAATAAGCACTCGCCCACTCGCAAATGCGAGTAAATTTTCCTGTGGGCGACCAGCTCTTGAGAATATTATCGCCCACATGGCGAGTAAGAATTTTATTGGACCTTTTCCAGAATCAGATCGTAGTTTGGTTTAACTATTCAATGTACGTACTTTCGTTTTCATATCCCAGGCTGATTTTTCTGTGTTTGATCATTCAGCTGATTCCATTTTTCAAATATTAATTGTGTAGCTTTATTTGAGATACAAAATATGTCAATCTAGTGAACGTTTACCTTAAATTTAAAGAGTAATCATTATTGTAACAAGAATCCCCCCATTCTTTTTCTGCCGCTATAGGCAGCCATGTTGGGTGTCCACTGTGAATATAACACCTGGTTAATTCAGTCCAGGTATGTTTGGCTCCTTTATTTATAAAAAAAAAAAACGACATACCGACCCTTGGTTATTTGGGAATGTTACAAGAATCAAATATTTTTTAAGCCTAATTCAAAATACATGCCCTGAAACAATTTAAATCAAAAGAAATAAAAATTGAATTGAATGATAACATGGAATTTCATACATTTAGTAGTGTAAAATTCTGCAGGAAAAATTTGAAAAGAAATAATGAAATACTATGGCGATATTAAAAGTATTTTTCTCTTATGTTTTCATATGAAAAGATTTTTTACAAAGTGAAAAAAGAATTGTGGGCCCCATAAAATCAATGTGGGCTAGTAAAACTTGTGAAGTTGGGGGCCCACATGGCCCCTAAGGTTTAAATGTTATTTGCAACCCTGTAAACAGATATTAGGAATGCAAAACAATGTAGCCAATATAGGTCCCTTTTTTGTGTACTTTTTTAAATATTGAAAGAATTCTGAAAACCGGTTATGCATCAAGTGTCTTGTTGTGTTTCTTGTTGTGTTGTAAAAATATACAGTTGCTTTAGACTAATTCTATATATCACCCTTTCTGCCAAGAAAATGAAGAAAGACTGTAACAACTTATGAGAGTGTGCCAGCTCAATTCATTTATAATGCATTTAGATTTACAAGTACATTTATGTCAATTTAGAAACTCTATTGGTTTGACTTTTCATATTTTCAAGAACACTACTTGTCTGAGATCTCAAATCTCCCTCCATTTTTTTCAAATATTTTATGAAAGCAACCTACGTGCACTGCACTGACTAATGGAGTATTCAACTAGCGGTCAACTGTAAAGGAAATAGAGGAGTATTCAACTAGCGGTCAACTGCAAAGAAAATAGTGGAGTATTCAACTAGCGGTCAACTGTAAAGGAAATAGAGGAGTATTCAACTAGCGGTCAACTGCAAAGAAAATAGTGGAGTATTCAACTAGCGGTCAACTCTAAAGGAAATAGAGGAGTATTCAACTAACGGTCAACTGCAAAGAATATATAGGAGCATTCAACAGTGGTCCACTCTATGCAAATGAGTTGATCGCTCCCTCATTTGCATGGCAAAAATTCAACTAATGGTCAATTGACGGTCAGTTGACCGTCAACTAGTAGTCAACTGAAT